TGAAAACATGCTTATGTTTGCGAGATTTAATTAACACCGTGTTGACCTTGTTTCGACAATCGCAAGCAAATTACACATTTCCGATCGAGGTTTAACAATAAGTCGGATTCGAGGCAACGCAGGTAAAACTGCTCTCGCGTGTGCAAGTTATGCGTACATAGGAAAATTTTAAGTTCATAATAATTTAATACTTAATATATTAGCAACAGTAAGAAAAGTATTGATAAGCAGAAATAGCGATTAAAAAGAATATATCACACAGATATCGATTAAAGCTTGTTTTTTGAATTAGAAAATAATCATTTGGAAACAATATAAACATTGAATTATTTGATAATATTGAATAAATTATTCGATATGTAGATTTCCTTCCAAATTAAAAAAAGAATGTATCACGCAAATACGTATCAAGATTTTATCTTTCAATTAACAAAGACTTATTTGTTAATGTTAGACAAATAGTTAATGTTAATTATTCGATAATATCGGAATTTAAGGCGTATAATTGACTTTTACACGAGGATATGAAACGCTTTATCTAAAGTTTCCTTTTAAATAAAAAATGTATTATACAAATACCAAGGCCTTTATCTTTGAATTAGTAAAGGAACATTTAAAAACATTAATGAAAATTATTCGATAATATCGGAATTTTAAGCACGTAATTTACTTACAAGAGGATATGTAGTGCTCTATCTATAGGTTTCTTTTCCAAGTTAGCGTCCAAGGAGTGCTTTCGCAACTGTTCTTCATTCTAAGTAAGGATTATTTAAATGAGGTCGGTGAAGCGTGTAATTGAATCGCATGGATGTTTGTTCAACATCAGTATCAGAGAAAAGTTTTTGAATGCTGATTATAAAGGCTGTCGGGTAAAATTAAACACACGCGTGCAAGTGAAGACAGGCGAAGGAAATGAAACCATTAATAACGTTACATACCCTCACATCGGGTAATGGTTTATCCAACTGAAGATTCACAAAGTACTCTTCTAGTTCCATGATTCTATGTCCATGTGATTTTGTCTAATTTTATATAACCTTCTAAACATCATACTTTTTAAGAACAAAAGATATATTCATGTTAAACATAATCGAAACAAGAAAAATCGTAACAAGTTAGCGTCTTGAAGGTATTACTACAGTTCTAAAATGTACTGTCAGTATTGTCTTGTTTTGTGATTCTAACGTAAGGTCAGGGAATGGAAGTAACTCGTTACTTGTAACGAAGTTACAGTTACAAGTTACTTTTTTGGTAACTTTACTGGTAACTGCGTTACTTTCTTTTTTTGGTAACTGTAACGGTAACGAGTTACATTTTTTGGGTAAC